CTCATTCAAGAAGAAAAAAAATACTGCAACCGTTCTCACCAACTTACTGTGAGTATATTTGCAACTTTAATCAATTTTGCAGACAGGAAAAAAAATAGGTTTGGGGTGAATAGAACTATTTAATGATAATATTTACTTTTAGTGTTTTCTTCTTTTTTTTTCTGTCTTTTAACCCTGTGGAGCATAGGCCATCAATCACCTCATTGTAAGACGTCCTTTCTTTTCTATAGCATGCAGCTCACCCCATTTCCACCCACATCTTTTAAACGTCACTATGGGTCACTTCTTCGCAGTTGTACCCCCCCCCCCCTTTTCTTTTCTTTTCTTCCATGATTTTATTTTTATGCCTCTGTGGGTTCCAGTGTAAAACCTTTCTCGTGAGCTTGTTCTCATGTCTTCGCCACGTTTGCCTTATTCAGCGATATTGGAACTTGTTTACTCCTCTCATAAAGCTCCACATTGTATTCCCTCTATTCTGCGCATGAACCAGCCAGAAGAACAACTGTTCACATCATATATGATCTTGAAATCAAGGAGAGCTGGCTCATAAACATGGACCTGTCCCGAAAGATGAAGTATTTTGGCCACGTTAAACGATATGATGGCTTGACAAAAACAGCGATAGAGGGTTACAGTTTATCAGCAAATGAAGCAGAGGACGACTTCTGCGAAGTGGATACAAGACATTAACTCTTTGAGTCCCAAACAACGCATGATGTGTTGATCATCATAATTGCCGAATCCCCTCCTTAGCTTAATATGCTCACTTACTTTTGTGTTTGGTCAAAACACACTCAAGAAATTTGGCTTGTCCAGTGGCACTAGTACTGTTTATATTACAACTTTGAAAGTAATTCATTGACAAATTTTAATAATAGATACAACTTTACTGGCATCTTATTCGAAACCTTGTTCCGATACTGACAAATTTAAAGATTCATTGGATATTAAAGCACATAGGGCTGGAGAACTATCCAGAGAGAGAGAGAGAGAGAGAGAGACTCTGGGGCGTGCCGTGAAGAGAGCGACGTTCTAAAAACAACCTACTTATTGATGATGATTATGAGCATTTGCTGGCTAGTTTTTGTCACTGTTGTAGATTTTTATTGGATTCGGCAGTCAAGCCTAAGCACAATCGTTCTCATAGTTTACTTACTTAAAATCAGAACAGTAAACATCCACAAGACCCCATCAACAGACTCAACAGAAAGCAACATACAACAACCACACGCATAAAATAAAGTATGTACAGTCCACACAGTGTGCCTGTCAAACAGGACCACAAACACATGAGGACGTTCAGCAGACGTGTCCACTCTACCTACAACTTCGAAAATAAACCTGGCTTCGAGAGTAAAATGTGCAGAGCAAGCTATCGGGAACCATGAAGGACCTGCTACTGACATGCGAGTTCACAGAGGCAACCCACCTGATGGTCCGACCTGAGCATACGACACCGAACGCAAAAAAAAAAAAGAAAAAAGAAAAAGAAGAAGAAGAAGAAGAAGAAGAAAAAGAAAGAAGAAGAAGAAGAAGAAGTAGAAGAAAAACAAGAACAAGAACAAGAACATTCACAATTAAAATTCAAACACCAATGCTCACGAGGAAGAAGGCTTGTGCTGCTCGGCAATGCACATGATAATGACGAGAAACTCATTTCCTCACTCACTTTTAATCTCTGCCCCCACATTATCTCATCCCCTCTCACCCTGTCACACTCACAAACTTTCTTACCCACTCACCCACTCTTCTGCTAATTCACATTCGCTCCATGTCTCACACTTACTCTGTCACTCACTCTCCCCAGCCACTCGGCCATTGTCTCCAACTATGGCGGTCTGAGTAGAAAGTTGAGAACGAGCGAGAAGACCCAGGGGTTGGCGGGTTGGTCTGCGCAAGTGCAGGCGTGTTGGGAGGCTTCAAGGTAAAGACAAATGACGGTTAGTAGTTTCTGAGTGCGAGCTAGGAGCGGATGTTCACTGACGGTAGGTGTTGGTATGTTTGTTGTTTACTGTTGTTGTCTGGTTACCAGAAATTTTAAACGGAGTCACTTCGGCGTGATATCCATGCCTTGACACGGCCATTTATTTTTAAAATCTTTTTTTGTTTGTTTTTGTCGTTTACTTTTGTTCAGTTTGGGCCCTGTATTGTTCTCTCTCTTCTGTTGTGTTTTTTCTTGCATGCCTTATCCTTTTTCTCTTTGAAGTATTTTTGTTCTGCCTTCTCATCTAAGTCTTCTTTTCTCTCCTCTCATTTCTGTCTTATCGTGTGTCTTTTTTTCTGTCTTTAATTCTATCTTCTCTTCTGTCAGCTTTCATCTTCTGTCTCCTTTCTTTTATCTTTCTTCTGTTCTGTCTACACTTCTGTTCTGTCTCCTTTCTTCTTCTGTTCTATCTACACTTCTGTTCTGTCTCCTTTCTTCTTCTGTTCTGTCTACACTTCTGTTCTGTCTCCTTTCATCTTCTGTTCTATCTACACTTCTGTTCTGTCTCCTTTCTTCTTCTGTTCTGTCTACACTTCTGTTCTGTCTCCTTTCTTCTTCTGTTCTATCTACACTTCTGTTATGTCTCCTTTCTTCTTCTGTTCTATCTACACTTCTGCCTTCTCTTCTGCTCTATCTTTCCTTCAGTTTTCTCCCCTGTTTCATGTCCTCTTCTGTCCTCTTCTTTTCTCTCCCTTCTTCTGTTCTGTCTTCCCTTTCAGCTCTTTTATGTGGTCTCCCATTTTCTCACACCGTAGCCCTTAAACAAATACTGCATCTTTCTGACAACAGTGATCAGTTGAATTCTGAATTTGCTTCTTTTCAAATATCAAGATTAGTTTGTTTCTTCCTATTCGTTTTCGGCATGTCGAGCCCTTGAGGTTCATTTCTGCAGACATCACCCGCCTCCATCATATAGTACAACGGTTCTCAACCTGCCGGTCGCGACCCTTATTTTGTGTGTGGGTCGAACGACCCTTTCAAAGGGGTCGCCCTAAGACCATCGGAAAACATATGTTCATTGAAGTTGTGAAGGAAAATAACTGTTTTGGGGGTCGCTACAACATGAGGGAACTGTATAAAAGGGTCGCTACAACATGAGGGAACTGTATTAAAGGGTCGCTACAACATGAGGGAATCTGTATTAAAGGGTCGCTACAACATGAGGGAAACTGTATAAAAGGGTCCCGCCACAACAACATGAGGGAACTGTATTAAAGGGTCGCTACAACATGAGGGAACTGTATTAAAGGGTCGCTACAACATGAGGGAACTGTATTAAAGGGTCGCTACAACATGAGGGAACTGTATTAAAGGGTCGCGGCATTAGGAAAATTAAGAGCCATTGATCTTTATGATTAGTCCTCTCTTTCTATTTGGTGACTTCAAGTGTGTTAAGGTCTGTCTGCATAATATCTGTCCATCGTCTTCTTGGTCTGCCTCACGATAATTCAACTTTTTTATGAACATAGATATATATTTACGGTCGAACGGGGTTTCTGCGAATAGTGTCCGGGGGATTCTCATCCGAATTGTGGCACTTTTGTCACAGAGTGTTTATCCTTTGTTGTACTGTCCTGGTTGGGTTGAACGTCATTCACTCGCGAACACTGATGTGTGTTTCTCTGTTGTCTGCTATTCTCTCTATATGTTCCAAACATTGCAGTCTATTAGCCTTCACGATGCCAGTAATAAATAGTGATTTAGACAGATTATGAATTTCGTAGTTGCTTCCTCTCTCTATCTCTCTATCTCTGTGTGGGTGTGTCTCTATTTCTTTTAATCTCTCTCTGTGTCTTTCTTTATATCTCTCTCTGTCTCTCTCTGTCTGTCTCTCTGTGCTTCGTTGTGTTTGTGTCTCTCTCTGTATGTCTCACTGTTTCTCTCTATGTCTGTCTCTCTCTCTCTCTCTATGGGTCCCTATCTGAATCTCTCTCGCTCTGAATCACTCTCTCTATCTCTCTCTCTCTCTCTCTCTCTCTCTCTCTCTCTCTCTATCACTCTAGTTTCCTCTTTAATATTTAATTACTGTTTGGTTATTTTAAAAAAATTAAGTCATTCTGTGGATTTTTTTTGTTGTTGCTTGTTTACAAATTGTCCTTTATTCACATACAACATACACATTATACTACATCTATATGACTTACAACGTACAACATACACATTATTTTGAATCTATATGACCTACACAATACAATATTTTTTTTTTTGCGATTTCGCAAGGCAATGTTTACGTTCAGTAGTTTGCCAGTGCCGCTGAGGGGTCGGCTTTCGATATAACTTTCTAAACTAACGTAAAGTAGTCTGCTGGCAAATGACCTGCAGCTGGGATAGAACCCGGCATTCCCGATTTACGAAGCGCGTTTGCAACCCTCAAGCCACATCATTGAAAATTGTTCACCTTGGCAAACACTGCTTTTTGCTGTACTATTCTTCGTGTAGGGGAGCTCCCTTGGTGTAGCGGCTAGTCTCTCGCCTGCAGATCGGAAGGTTCTGGTCCACATGAAGTCGGACTTATTTTAAAAATTGACCACGGTTCCCAGGTTCGACCCAGCCTTGAGTGGGTACCATGTATATTGCTGGGAAGTAAAGGCGGCTGGCGTGATGTTCACCCCATTTTCCACCGAGTGCTGATTAATCTATAAAATATAAGTCTAGCCCTATATGCCCAATATATCTGAAGGAATAAAAAAGGGTCCTTCACTTTTAATTTATTCTTCTTTACTACATTTTCTAGCTGTAATACTTGTTGTAATTATACCCTATAGCTATCCCCTGCCCAAGCAGCAGACGATGACACCGACTAGACCACTTCAGAAGTTCGACACAGTGATGGAGCTGTAAGACCCCGCACACGCCAGTTTTTAATTCGCTCCCTGTAGAACTGCCCCTAATAACCCGGGTGAATTATTGATGCCTCTTCAAGATGGGCTCCAGAAGGTCTCCAGATGACGCTGGGAGTGCCAGCGTCGGTTCTTCAGTACCGCGGGATGAATTCTTGCACCACAGTGTGTTCAATATGACGGACATCCTCCCAGGAGACAACAGTACTCTCGACGTAAACGAGAACAGACGTGACTTTCAAGAGAGTTTTGATACAACTGAAATCAACCTTTCAGCGACAACACATTCACTAGACTCGGATAATAACAGTCTTGCTATTTTTGACGTGACTACAAGATTCCACAAGACAGATCGACACCAAGCGTCGTTTTATATCAGCGAAAATTATTTTGAAGACGTAAATCAAACAGTCAACTTCGCCGACCAATCAGATTCAACGAAACATAACCGTTTCTTCACAAATTACGAAAATGTAACAGAAAATCATCACCTACAACGAACTTCTTACAACGTAACAATTATGAATTCGACGGAATTAATAGAGAACTACTCATATAGCTTGGAACAAACTACTCCATCTCTCATTAATTTGACTAGCACACTACATTTTGAATCAATACAAGACTCGCCATTTAAAAAGATAGACAATACATCTATTTCGAACATTCCAGTAGAATTGTCAGTGTTTCCTGTAAATATATCCAACTCTTTTCAAATGTCGCCAGAATTCTCGGTGGTAGAAAGTTTGTTAAATGTTGATTCCGAGTTTTCGTCTCCATGTTGGTTAAATTCTTCCCTAGTCTGTAACAGTAGCAACAGTTCCGGAAACCCAACGTCTTTCACCTTTGACCTCACATCGTGGTTGACATTGACACCATCGAATACGGCCGATGATTGGTTCGACGCTTCCGGTCACACGGCTGATGAGACAACTCTAGTGCTGAAAGTGATTTTATTGGCATTTATCTCCCTTGTTGGTTGCTTGGGGAATATTTTGGTCATTTGGAACGTTGTTAAGGTAAGACCTGCGTACGTACGTACCGACAGACAAACAGACAGACAGACAGACAGACAATTTATTTACAGATAGACAGACCGATATATTTATATATTGATTGTTCAAACTTTAATGGGAAATAACGACACAGAAAAACCGACGCTCACGCGCGTAAAGAGACACACGCATATGCACACACACCATACAAGGACGTGTTACACATAAAACTAAGTGTAAATACAAATTGTATTACGGCCTACAACTAGTGTTTTACAACTAACTACATTCCAGTGCGTAGTAAAATTATTTTTGATATTTATATTTTTAAGACACATAAAATAAAATACTTGCAATTTTGTCACCATCTTCCACCGCCCCTCCCAGTGATGACACTCGGGGTGGCGCCCCTTTTCCCCGCCCCTTCCTGCGTCACTGTCTTCTGGCAGACCTTAAAAAATAACAGCGGTCCGTGTGTCTATTTGTTAGAACCGCTAATTTAGATATAGATGATGAGACAGTAGTAAGAGTGGTACAATTCACGTTTCGATGCTCATGATTATGGTAACTTTCCTTGCCATTTATGCCTCTTCAGTTCGTTGGACCTTTCCTACGTTTTGGCGAGTCCTGTTTTCCTAACTGTGAACGGTTTAACCGTTGCCTCTTTTCTCGTCTTCTCCCTTCTTGCTTGTGTGATTATTTTCACGTTCTGCTACCAGCGCGACTGTTCAGGAGTATGGAAACAGCGATATTTTTATATTCCAATGCTCCTTGTAACCAACGAACGTAGAAATACAAAAACACTCCAGTGTTGATAGCCAAGAATCATGGCGCCTGCCGCGCTTCCTTATGCAGTACTTCTTACTTGTACAAAGGCGCCTGCGGCGCCTTAAATAGACCTACATCAACACATCCTCCCACAAACATAACATACGCCTAGTGAACGCCAAACCAAGCCATATCATAACACCCTCGCAACATAGGAAAGGTCCAGCGACCTGAGGCATGAATGGCAAGAAAAGTTAATCTAATCTGGGGCATGAAAACGTGAACAGGACCGGAAGAGTACTACAGAACAGATAGGGTTAGTCAAGAAAAGAACCATTTTCCCCGCCTTCAGATGTAATGGGCAAATAGGGCTAGACCTATATTTTATAGAATAGTCAGCATAATACTGGCCGCCTTTACTTCCCAAAACTTTACCTGGTACCCACTCAAGACTGGGTCGACCTGAGAGCCAAACAGGTATCTTCTTTAAATGTTCATCATGTGCTAGACACAGAATTGCGCTCAGGTGTTTGTATATGTTATACGATCTATGCTTGGTTAATATAAATTTATGGTTACAAATGTTGCTATTTCAATGGTGTGAAATCAATTCTGTCAGTATTCCATAGCTGTCAATTCAATCTGTATGATAAAAAAGGTTTGCAATGACACCTTTGTATGGAGAAGGGGGAGGGAGGGGTGGTCATGCGCGTTACTACGCTTGTTCCTACAGTGGGGCGCCTTCGTCACTTGGAGGTGACAGGCTCGGTTCCCGGTATAGCTTTTGATTTTTATGTTGTATCGCATGACGTCTGATCTCTTTACTCCTTTCTATGAGTGCCGATTAGTTCCCGTATATTTGTTTATTGTACAATGGAAGAGCACTGGAACATTACCCGTTAATCAGTGTACGTATTCTGGTACCACACAGGAACGTCGTCTCCATCGCCCGCCCTTCTACTTCCTGTTGAGCCTGGGTGTGACAGACTTGTCGCGGGCTGTGTTCTGTGTGCCTGTGGTTATCACCACCGTTCTGCATGGGTCTCGTTGGAGGTAAGTCGAGGGTGTGTGGAGATGTGTGGGTGTGTGAGTGGGTATGTGTGAGTGGGTATGTGTGTGTGGGTATGTGTGGGTGGGTGTGTGGAGATGTGTGGGTGGGTGTGTGGAGACGTGTGGGTGGCTGTGTGGGTGGGTGTGTAGAGATGTATGGGTATGTGTGGGTTGGTATATGGGTATGTGGAGATGTGTGGGTGGGTGTATGGGTATGTGGAGATTTGTGGGTGGGTGTATGGGTATGTGGAGATGTGTGGGTGGGTGTATGGGTATGTGGAGATGTGTGGGTAGTTGTATGGGTATGTGGAGATGCGTGGGTGGTTGTATGGAAATGTGGAGATGTGTGGGTTGGTGTATGGGTGTGCGGAGATGTGTGGGTGGATGTATGGGTATGTGGAGATGTGTGGGTGGGTGTATGGGTATGTGGAGATGTGTGGGTGGGTGTATGAGTGTGTGGAGATGTGTGGGTGGGTGTATGGAAATGTGGAGATGTATAGGTGGGTGTATGGGTGTATGGAGATGTGTGGGTGGGTGTATGGGTATGTGGAGATGTGTGGGTGGGTGTATGGGTGTGTTTAGATGTGTGGGTGGGTGTATGGGTATGTGGAGGTGTGTGAAGGTGTGTGGGTGAGTGTATGGGTATGTGGAGATGTGTGGGTGGGTGCATGGGTATGTGGAGATGTATGGGTGGGTTTATGGGTATGTGGAGGTGTGTTGGTGGGTGTATGGGTATGTGGAGATGTGTAAGTGGGTGCATGGGTGTGTGGAGATATGTGAAGATATGTGAGTGTGTGGCGAAGTATAGGTGTGTGAAGATATGTGGGTGTGTGGCGATGTATAGGTGTGTGAAGATATGTGGGTGTGTGGCGATGTATAGGTGTGTGAAGATATGTGGTTGTGTGGCGATGTATAGGTGTGTGAAGATATGTGGAGGTGTAGAGATTTGTGAGGATATGTCGGTGTGTAGAGATGTGTGGGTTAGTGAAGAAAAGTGGATGTGTGGAGATGGTTAGGTGTGCAAAGATATGTGGATGAGTGGGGATGTGTTGGTGTGTGAATATATGTGGAAGTGTGGAGAAGTATGACAGTGTGAAAATATGTTGGTGTGTATAGATGTGTTGGTGTGAGAAGATATGTGGCTTGGAGGAAATGTGTGAGTTTGAAGATATGTGGAGAACACACGATACACTACTTGCGTGGAGATGTGTAAAGATATATGGATTTTTGGCAATGTGTGGGTGTATGAAATTATGTAGAATTGTGGAGATGTGTGAATGTGAGAATATATGTGAATTTGTGGGTGTGCGAAGAAATGTGGATGTGTGGGGATACGTGGATGTGTGAAAATATATGTATATGTGTGGGTGTGTGAAGACATGTGGATGTGTGGTGCTGTATACATTTAATTTGCTTTGTAAAGTATCATTTGTAAATACGCAGGCACCCATACACACATATATATACCTATCCTACTTTCTTTACACACACACACACACACACACACACACACACACACACACACACACAAATATAAATATATAAATGAAAAATCTGTCACTATCGATTACATAAAGAAACTGCACAGCAGTGCATAAATCTCACCGTTAAACATCGCACAAGTTATAAATATCTATTTATGAGCAGATTTCCTAACTCTAAAATGTGTGAAGCCTTATTACAGGTTTTCGAAAACAGAGTATTACGACGAATCTTTGGACCTATCAAATATTCAAACAGCAGGGAATAGAGAGCAAGAAGCAACAACGAAATTTATAATCTGTTTAAATCATCATTGATCATTGGCATCATAAGAGCTAAAAGGTAAAAACAGCTGGGGCATATTGAGAGAATGTGAGATGAAAGAGAGGTAAAAACTGTACACACAAAGGAGTTGAATGATCGCAATCCGCGAGGCAGACCAAGAAGATGATGGAGAGATAATGTCCAGAAAGCCCTGCAAATACTCGGTGTTACCATTTGGAAAACGAAGGTCAACAAGACAGATGAATGGAGGCGGGTGATATCGGCAGCAATGAACCCCAAAGGCGCAGATTGCTGAAAAAGAAAATGTATCCTTAGTAGGCCTGCACTTTTTCTGTTCCCCGCATCGAGGGATTATTTATATATGCAGCCTACACTTTTGTTCTCCTAAACCTTCTGTCTAATCCGTCGAATTCACTAGCCAGGGATCAGGAGGAGGAGAAAACCTTCGTTCTTCAATTTTGCAGGAATTGAAACAGTTCCCACAGCTGTCCGGTCCAGATTGGCTTAAGTGACAGTCGGGCGTCGTATCTCGAAGATACCCCACAACTAGTGCCACATGGGCCACCCCGGGTGTCATCCCTGACACACACAAAAAAAGGGAGGGGATAGTGAGAACAAATGGAAAAGACTTTTTTTTTTTTTTTTTAATAAGTAAATAATGCACATGTGCGGAACTGGAGGGTGTGAGAAAGGCGGGGAATGACAGGATATTTTCCACACCGGGGACCACCTGACTTTGCTAGGCCAATGCCCACAGCTGTAGAAGATATTCCATCTAAAGGGACAGAACCCTTTGCCCGCCATTACCGCGTCATGCTTATAGTGCCAGACTAATGTTGTTTATAGGTTTAACGGCACTCAATGGAGGATGTAGCAAATATCATGCAGACCGACTTTATTTCCCATGACAGTATCTTGTACCTATTTTTAGCTGGGTCGACTTTGAAGCCAAAGTCAGTCTTGAAAGAAAATTAAATCAGCTTTGGATGTGAATTTGAACCCAGGACCTTTGAACCTACGAGTGAGCATCCAGCCATTACTCCACCACGGCTCCATGATATTCTCACATTATGATAAAATATTAAATTTAAATAACTTTTCCTCCGCAGACATGGTGATTCCGCATGCAAGCTCTTCGCCTTTGCCACGTCATTCTTCGTTTTCAGCTCTGTTCTGTCCCTTCTGGCTATCGCTATCGACCGCCACTTCTGCGTCGTCTACTCCAAGATATATCGGCGTCGAGCTCCTGGCATTGCTAACCTGGTAGTCGCCATTATTATCTGGATCATCGCTTTCTCCATCTCCTTCCCTCCTGTACTGGGAGTTGGAGAGTACGTCTTCGTCCCAGAGGAAACCCAGTGCACATATCATCATAAACATTACAGTATCAACGACTCCGTGTCAACAGTTATGATATTCGTCGCCATTTTATTAGTGACCTACTTTTTCTACTTCCGTATTTTCTGTTTCCTGCGAGACCATCGGCGCATGCGCCCTCTGCAGCATACTCCAGCTATGAGCTCCAACTGGGCGTTTATAGGACAAGGCGCCAATGGACAAGCGTTCATTAACTGGTTGAACGGCTTCGGCGGTCAAGTACCAATCCGCCAAGGAGGCCAGAGATCTGTCCAAAGACTTAACTTTGGCCGAGTGGTCAATTTATCGATCACCAAAAACGAACACTTGACCCGGCTGTTTCTGATTTTAACCGTCGTTTTTGGGATCTCCTGGTTACCTTATATCATAGTCTCGGTATGGCGGATATTTTTTGATACTAGGATCCTACCTGCGGCCTTTGTGACAACGTCCGCCTGGCTAGCACACGGACAAGTCGCCCTGTGTCCAGTTGTTTATTTTACAGCTAGTGGCTCCAAGAAGAAACACGCAAGAACCGTCTACTCACAAGCGGAGAAGAGTAGTTTTCTTCTAGAAAACAAAGCTAGGAAATAATGTGGATACGTGTTGCCATCACATACAATCATCATCATCCTCATCATCGTGTAGTAGCAGGTCCTTTGCTGAAAGTCGCTCTCATCACGGTCTTCCAGAAAGAAACTCGGTCTCTCGCTAGCTCTCCCGCATCGAGCACTTTCATATTCAAGAAATCACTTATATCCTGTGCCCATCTTCTTGTTGGTCGACCCCTGCTCCTTCTTCCTGGTACCATGCCTTTTGCTATTCTTTTTTTGTCCCCAAGTCCGCTATGGTACTTGATATGGCCAAAATATTTCAGCTTCAGAGACAAGATGCTGTTTATTAGCCAATCTTCCTTGATGTTCAGATCTTTAGAATGTCAATATTTCTTTTCTTCATTGTCCATGGTATTCTAAGAATATTTATAAAGCATTTCAGCTCAAAGTTCCCTATTGTCTTCTTTAAGGACTGGGAGACATTTCACGACTCACAACTCTCTCTTTCTCTCTTGCTCGCTCTCTATAGCTCTCTTTCTCACTCTCTTGCTCTCTCTTCTCTCTCTTTTTGGCCCTTTCTCTTCCCGCATCTCTATCCCCGTGTCTCCCCCCCCCCCTCTCTCTCTCTCCAGAGTCACAGCTCATTTACCATCTCTTGTACATCACTTCCAAATATAAGGTATAAATTTATTACAATGTATTTATCGAAAATGTCTGCGTTGTTTTCATTTAAAATTCCCTCTCTCTTCTCTCTCTCTTTGTGTCTGCATCTCCTTCTCATCACTTATTCTCACTTCAAATTTCTCCCGCCCCTCTATCTAGCCGTCTACTATCTATCTCTTTTTTGTTTCCTCCATCTTCTCTTTCTGTCCTTCTGTGTGCGTGTGTTTTTTTTTTTCTTTCTCTTATTCGTCTCTAGCATCACTGCCTCTAACTCTCAATCGTCTCCCTGCCTTTTATCTAGCGGTCTACTTTCTCTCTCTTTCCCTCTTTCTCACTTATATTTCTTTTTCTCTCCGCACTTATATTTTTTTCTCACCTTTCTCTCTTCTAGTGCGCTCATCTTGACACCCCCTCTCCCACCCCCCGCCATTCCCCATCCAGCCCTCTTTATCTATCCCTTTCTTTCTTCTCAGTCTCCCGCCAAGTGTGTATAACTATTTCATCAGGTGCCTTGCCGACTGTAGTGGGCGATCAGGCCTCTCCACAACCTGCAATCTGAAAATGTGTGTATCATCTCGTCTTTTGACAACCCTCTATGCTATGACAACCCTTCATGCTATGACAACCCTCCATGCCATGACAACCATCCATTCTATGACAACCCTTTATGCTATGACAACCCTCCATGCTATGACAACTCACCATGCTATGACAACCCTTCATGCTATGACAAACCTTTATGCTATGACAACCCTCCATGCTATGGTAACCCTCCAGGCTATGACAACCCTCCATGCTATGACAACCCTGCATGCTATGACAAACCTTCTTGCTATGACAACCAAGAATCGAATATCCTCCCCCCCCCCCCCCCCCACCCCCAACCCTCCTTTTTCTTTCGTTGGAAGCATTATGTAGCTGACAATTAATTAGGGGTGTTGCCCTCGATGCCCGATTAAATCTGCCTCAGAGACGAGGAACCAGCAGTCTGCATATAAATAAGCAGATCTGTAAAACGGATGTCCACACAAAATTAAAGCCCTAGAATAGGACTAAAGTCTAGAAGCGAACAAACAACCAAAACTTATAGCTGGAGTTTATAGCAAGTGAACGCTAAGCAGAAGAAGAAGAAGAAGAAGAAGAAGAAGAAGAAGAAGAAGAAGAAGAAGAAGAAGAAGAAGAAGAAGAAGAAGAAGAAGAAGAAGAAGAAGAAGAAGAAGAAGAAGAAAAAGAAGAAAGAAAGAAAAAGAAAAAAAGAAGAAGAAGTAGAAGAAGATAACATATCTCTCCCTCAATCTTCTTCTCTGTTTACACCGACGGCTTTCTGCTACTCTATCACTACTCTCATAGTCTTCTCACTCTATTTCAACATTGTTCTCCAGCAGTCTTCCTCACAAACCAAGTATTGGGATGGCTAGTAATCTTTTTACAACACAAGACAATGGCGATCAACACACACACACACACACAAATATCTCCTACAAACCATATTCATAACTACTCTATGCTACCAGTGCCAGACATGGCCACCCACAACAAACCATGAAAGAAAATTAGTAACCATGGAAATAAGATGTCTGAGAAGGGATGTTTGACCACAGGAGAGAAAACTCAGGAATGAGGCAATGAGAGAAAACGCCAGCACAGAAGCGATACTAAATTATATACAAAGACGGCAAACTGAATGGTTTGCTTTCTTAGAGAGAATGTTTTGTGATGACATACCATACAAGGCATACGCCAAAAGAGGAAAATGACGTAGAGCACAAGGTAGATCAAAAACAAGATGGAAAGATAACTTCAAAGAAACTCTACAACAGCGTGATGCACCTATGGTCAAGGTGACCAGAAGAGCAAGAAACTGAACTTTATATATCTCTCGACACCCGAAGTGGTAAAATAGGAATTGAAGCTCCTTCTATTTATACAACCCTCCCCTCTCCACTCCTCACTCCCATTTCACTGTACTATACTCCTCTTCTTTCTACGCTGATATCGCAATCCCTCTCCATTCCCCCCTCCGAACATACTCCACCCTCTTCGTCTTTACTGTCCTTTAATTTTGTTTCATCGTACCAATTTCTTCCTCTTTCTACCTCTATCTACCCCCACTACCATATTCGCCAACATGATCCTCCTCTCAAAATACTCATTGCATCAACATACCAGCCAGTTCTAAAGTGCAAAATAAACAAATGATTCCATGTTAATTATCTGTTAGTCTTTAAAGAAATTGCTCACAAAACGTACCCATTAAGGGCGTCAGAAGGAAACAGTCTTACAGTCTTTAGTAAAACGATATTCAACCAAACGAAAAGTAGAACCAGCTAGCTTCACCATATCACAAACATGAACTACAAATGAACGTTGCAGATATATAACCTTTGTCGGCGCATTACATAACTATACAATACCTAAATACAAGTAAGAATACACAAAAATCACTTAACTGATGTATCTGCAGGAGAAATAACATTTCGGTCTGGCAAGTAGAAATTCTGGACACGTGTATGTCAACCAGCAATAAATACTGTCCAGAAAAAAAAAAACATAACTATGAACAACATGGGCCGTAACTCAAAATTATTTCATCACGTTGTGAGAAGGACAAAGTCTCGAGGGGAGAGGGAGGGGGCTGAACATAGACAGACCAAGAGAGAAGATGATTTTTTTTTTTTTTTTTTGCTTTTTCTTTCCTCTAATATTTATGTTTTTGTGACATGTCATGGAAAAGAATGAACTAGAGAACTTAGTAACATCTGACAAGATCGATGAAAAGAAAGAAAGCGTAAAGGCAAAGAGATAAATACCTGGACAGCTTGGATGGGGTAAGACAAGAACATTGACCTGATCGTTGATTCTGATGACAATATGAGACGGAACCTAGAGGCAGAGGTCGACCACTGCCTGGGTGGATACAGGACACTGAAGATGCACTGGCTATGAAAGCACACAGGGCTGGAGAATTAGAGAGACAGAGACTTTCAGGCGTGTCGTGGAGAGAGCAATGTTCTGTAAAGGACATGCTGATAGATTGACTGGGCAGTTTATCCCTTCTCCTTTCAGATCTCCTAACTAAATTTATAACCATTATTTAAATAATTAACTTCATTTCCAACAGGAGACATCTTTGCTTCAGTAACACAGATATTAATTATCCTTTCACGACATCCGGGCTTGTCGCAATCCTCCAATAGAATACCCTTCCTGTCTGTTGGCGTCTCTATGGCAATCTGTCAACATCCAGCTTACTAAGAATTAGAGCCGCACAACACGGGATGTGATTACTCCACTCTGTGTGTTACGTCAGGGCTTTTCAAACCTTCGTCTTCCTGAGGTCCATAAGTGAGGAATCTGCGGCGCTGCCACGTCAACCACAATTTCATTTTTGATTAAATATTTTCTCGGCACCTATTCGTCTTTACAGGCGATAGTGAAGATCAACGTAGACAAAACAGGGTACTTCATTGTTATAGCACCACATCTCGTCGGCTTCGAGATTTCGTAGGAAATTCCTTGGGTTCCCTAGGGGTTTTCCTCGACAGTACTATTTATGGGAGGGGGGGGGGTTTAGGGTTAGGGCTAGTGTTACATGAATAGCGACTACCACTAAGCATAATCCTAATCCCCCTACACTATGGGACGTTCTGGAGATTTCCCAACCAAATCTCGAAACCGACGAGATCTGGTCGTGAAAAATTAAAGAACCCAAAACAGAATTCATGACATTCCCCAGAGAATAGAACAAAAGCATACAACGCTAAAGATGAAAGACCAAGACGAAGATCGATTGAAGGAGTCACAGATATCTTGAGGCTCCACAGCATAACAGCGTGCCCTAGCTCGGAAACCGAACATCGACGCCTACAGGCACAAAGTGCACAAAAAAGAAATTGACAAAAGAGAGAAAGACAGATTGAGAACCGTTGGCTGTCGTGTGCAATGACCACTCCCGTCGTCGCGGTTTTTCAAAAAGCTTCAGAATTTTAATGCGATTTGTCAGACGCATTCCGGAAACGAAAGATTCTAATAAAGTACGACTGGCAATATCTTAAACCGCTTACATGACTCATCGTCTGGGCATTAATTACAGTTTTGATACAACTTACACCGGGATTTAGTCGTTCCTTATACCCGTGGGGGCTCCGGGACCCGAGGGGGAGAATAGACCCACTGCCTAATTATCAAGCATGTAAGGGTTTGCTGAAATCGGATGTTTTGGGCCAAAAGGCACAGATACCGCAGCCTAGCTGTGAGAATAGGACAGGCCAAAACTGCAATGTATAAAGTAAAGAACGTTTTGTGCAATCAATCCATGTCAATTGAGGTTATGAAAAGAATTATCACAAGCTATATAGAGCCAGTTTTAATATACGG